ATTGCCATCAGGAGACGGCCACGCCGGTACCAGAAGATTTTTTCCCACTTTCCTCTGACCGCCCACCCATTACCGAGCAAGAAAGTAGCACCGTTTCAAATGACGAACAGAATGATGCGACACCTGCTAGTGTACAGAATGCTGACGATGTCCGTATGCATAACCTAGAAACATTAACCCAACAACAACAACGTGTTCATCCATACTGTCTTCGTAACAGAGACGCCTGAACTTTGCCCCATGCAAACCTTTCCAATCGATTTTTGACATCTCAGTTCTTCCATTTGTTGGCCGGGGTGAATTTCATGCTAAATTCCATCTTATCTACTACTTTTCTATTTCTCGTTTTAGTCCCAGTACGCCCATTGTAAGATGAATAAAGCCCTGTTATAGGGTATTCTCGTTCTGAATCTTGCATCCATATTTGTTCGTCCTCTCCATCTCGTGTACTTGATACGGTCCTAGCTACAACACTTAGCATGTCCCATTACCTGGTAGGTAGATGCTCGTACTACGGCACTGAATATTACTGATCGCAACCTTTAAGATCACGGACTTTTGGCTCAGCAGTAGAGGTTTGGCCAAGTTAGTGCACAGTGGCTAGTGAATACGGGTTCGGGCCTCAGGCCCTGCATACCTGGGCACGACTTGCTGACGACGGTTAATAAGACAAACAGGATGTTCCATTCCCTTTCGCTCCCTCTACGCATATACATATACAAAGATGACCAAAAGACAGATAAGAACAAAGACTTACCAAACAAGATCAGGCGCATTCTCCACTTAAGCAACAGCCTCTCGCTGTCTACAAACATGACCGTGCCAGAACCCTCTTCCAAATCATTAGAACACACTCTGACAACAAAAATGCGACGAAGGAGAAAATAAAAAAATTACAGCCCAATTTGAAGCAGACAGTTGTCCGAAGCCTTTCATGCACAAGTGTCTTAATGAACTCCATTTTGATCTGCCAGTTGGGGAAAAGACGACGTTCTGCCTTGCGATTCCCTATTTCAACAATGTTTCGGAGGCGACGACACGAATTTGAAAACCTTTTAGGATAGTCTTGGCTCATAAACCGCGAGGCCCAACGACCCTTGATCATTGACAGAACAATCAGCGGGGGTCCTCTGGAGATCTAGCCAAAATGCTGATGGAAATTATGTTGGTGAAACATGCAAAAGCCTTACCACATAACTGCACGAACATCAGCATGCAGTTTACCTAGTGAATTAGCTGCCTCTTGCCTATGACCAATTACAAAAACGGAATCACAAATTCACTTTGGCGAAGCAACGATGATCAACCGAATCAAAAATAAGATAATAAAACTGGTGATCGGAAATTGGTCCTTGGCTGGCACAGTAAACCGAGCCCTAGACCTTCATTTCATCCACCAGGCATTACCAACAGTTTTCTCATCGCTTCGGACAGGGCCGCTAGGGCAGACGAGTAAAGTCCTACAAGACCGACAGCTGACGCATGAGGCAAAGGGGTAAGGAGTCGGCTGGTGGTCACGTGACTAACGTGGAATGCTGCTTCATCGGTGTGACCACGAGGCTAAGAGCAAAACGCGAAAGCAGCAACTATATTCAGTGCACAGGCTGGTGAGGAGAAAGCAACAATCATAATAAACTGTTAATGAGTACGAAAAATGTAATGGGCACAAGAGCCACCAGCTGTCGGTCACGGAGCTCTCAGAGCCAGCCAGTCGCAAACGGACAGCTCGGATCTTAGGCGTCCAGCACGATTAAAATAAGAGGAAGGAGAGTGTGCTGAATAAACCAAGAGAAACACGAATTACCACTGCATAACACTAACGATGGAAACAAGGAAATTTCCGAAAATTCATAAGACTATAATATTTTCTGCCGCAGCTGTCCCCGAAAAATACTGAAAATGAGATAACTACATAGGATTCCAGACACAGATCATTAAAAAGACCAGAATCCAGACCCACCAAATAACTGCCAGGTTATCATCTACCCCTATGGAGAATTCTTCTTGTTCCTATATATCCTTTCATAAACGATTATTTTAGCTGATTTTAATGTCATCTTACTATCTCTATCCCCAGTGATCTATGAATGAGCACGGTGAATACCTCTGTTTTCGTCGTTTGCTAAGAGTTTGGTTGGTTAGCAAAGAGGTGCCATGGTCACATTTTAGCACTTTTATGACACCCGCAGCCCTAAATATCCCTTCCTCACCATGACTCTAAACGGACTAGGACGGAACGCGCTGGGTCCCTCCTATCTCACCACCTTGTCGGCTGCTACTGTTGTCAACGCAACATATTATGATCGAATCTTCAGCGAATAAACTCATCTGGTTAAGGTATTCTACTTTGACGATAACCGTTTTGAACTTTTGTATACTCCCACATACAGGACGGTTCTGTCTGACCCGCATATTTAGCTTTCAAAGAACGACAGTGATTTATACGCGACAAAAAACCAAATCATATTCATTGTGAATTTTTCTAAAAGGTGAAAGTCTTTTTGCTGTTCGCTGAAAGTTTTCATATCAGACTGCCTATTTTCTAAGCACAGACTAACAAAGTACAGTGTCTCTCTGCTCGTCCTAAAATGGATTGGAAGATTTGTCTTCAGCTGTTATGAAAATAATTTTATGGGCACTAGTAAAACAAGATATTCATTTGTTTACTCAGCATTCTCGCCATTCTGAGACAACATAAACTGCGGTGGATCGGCCACCTCGCGAAGACGGATGACAAGACCTTACTCATACCCGTCTCCTAGGGCAACGTTTTCGTGGGTGCTCGCTGACAAGAAGGAAAAAACGATCTCAGGGCTGTGGGTCTGTGACAGTGGAAAGTTTCGAGACGCTCTTTTAACTTTTGCAGCGACGATTCGGTGGGATTCGTGGGCCGCTATTCATGTCTTCACAAATCTTCTCTAGTCCGGCAGATCTTGAGAGAAGTTTTTTGGAACATCCGAGTTTGTTTGCACGGGTTTAATTGAGTTCCTAAACGCGTCCTTCAGGCGTCTTTTCTGTCATCATTGTCAGCGAGCATCCGTGGGGACATAACTGTAGAAGACGTGCTTGAGCAGGTACTTGTCATCCGTCTTCGCTAGGTGGCCGATCCAGACCAGTCGAAGTTTTCTCAGAATGGCCTGAATGCTGAGGATTCTGGTTCTTACAGTGGATTCTGGGTTTGAACTTCCATTTCGCTATCTCACCTTCAGTATTCTCCAAGGTCCGCCAATCTGGGATTGGTTGAGTATCTTTGCTCAAATCGCGCAGGAATTTCATTCCTCTGTCCTGTGTAGTAGAGTTGCCAGGACTTTCAATCCGTACATCCTTTGTTACGTGTTCTGTCGAAGCCCAGACGGTATTCTGCCTCCGGTATATTGCCCGACTGACGTTAGAGTTCCGGTGAATTACTTTTTAGGCGATTTAGACGCAGCGTGTTAATGTACAGTCGCTGACCGTGATACGAATGTCTTTGGCTTTTGTTTTGGGCAACGACTGGATCATGACCCCTATTTTCTCCTTCTTGATGGTCAGCGCGGAATTATCGCAGCCGGATGTAAGTTAGTCTATGCTGCTTTCCATGGTTGTTTCCGTTGAACCTTAGGTGCGCTGCGCCCGCGAGGAGGAGTTCATAAAGAGTAGTCAAGGAGGGCCACATGACCGCTTTAACTCGTCCAGTATTTAGAAGTTGGCCGTCGGTCCTGTAGATGATGTTGGTTGCAGGGCACTCATTTGGATAAGCGTGCAGTAGCACTGAAGAGAACATGAATTTTAAAGGATGAGGGTGAGTACGTAGCTCTGCTTTACTCCATTGGTCACTGCGAATGCTTTTGAGACTGTCCCGTTTCCCGTGACAATTGTTATCCTCCGGTCGTAGAAATGAAGCACCATGTGCGTGAACCATTCAGGACAGCCGAATTTCTGCATGATTTTCCAGAATTCATCGTGACCCACCATGTCGAACACCTTTGTCAGGTCCAGTAAGGCAGTAGGAAGATTGGTATATGTTTACTGACACTTCGGATACAGTCGCCAGATCGCGAAGATCATATCGGTGGCTCCGTGATGTCATCGGAAATCATACTAGCTTCCGGGGTGAAGTCCCTGTTCTAGATGGCCCTCGAGATGATTGAGAATGACGCGGGCGCTGAACTTTCTGGCGATGTTGAGTAGCGGAATGTCTCTGTGGTTATCACAGACTTGCCGGTTCTCTTTCAGCTTGCAGAGATGGAAGATATCTCATCCTTCAAATGTTGGGAAACTTGGCATTCGCGCCGCACCTCCCGAGACATCACTGTGAGTTTCTGCGTCGGAATGCTGAAGAAGGCGGTAGTTGCGTGGAGGCATTGTTTTGTGCAGAAAGAGGCCCTTGCCGTTTCAGTCGCCGACTCCCCGTGGACCTTACGTTCCCCTCTAGGTAGCCTAGTCATTTGGGAAGCGTAGGCCCTGGTAATGGTGAGAATTTGGCTTTCCGAAGAGCTAGGTACAATTTCATGAAACGGTTATCAATGCACCATGACAGATACGGCAACCGTCTCACGATGCCATTTCGGGTGGCAAAGGTGACTCTGTGGCAGTTCGCGTCTCCTCGCCCTCCGCCTTTGTCACGCTGCCGTCCTGTCCGCCTCATACTCCTTGTCGATACGCTGCTAGGACGCGCGAGGCTCGTCACTGGCCTCGCGAGTGCTGGAAGCCTATCAACGCTGTCCGCACTCTGATTGGCTGGCGGACGTGGAGACAACGAAGGACGCACACATGCGCTGACACAACACTCCGAAGGCGGACACAGACAAGAGCATGCTTGGAGCGCGCTCGCGGCGACTGCCTACAGAACCCTTGTGTACGCACTTCCTCAGGCAGTAAAGGTTGTACAACTCAAACCGTCTTCTCTGGCTTTTGATTGGGAATCTTTATCTTGTCGACCACACAACATTCGACAATTGGTGACCCCTTTGCGAACAGCAATCTTTCTTCCTAATCTATGATAAAGCCAGGCGTTGATAATGGACAACTTTCCACCGGAAGTGCAGCATATTTTGGCACTCGCCTCCGCCATTCTTTCGGCAACGCAACTTACTCAGATGGTTGATCGTCTTAGGGAGATGCACGACTTTTCCAAGCCGTCACTTTCAGCACTCTCAACTCCCTCAACTCATCCTACGTCTCAACTTTCACAGTTGGATATCGAGCTCAGTAGGCTGGCCGATGATATAGCTTCACTCTAGAAGCAGACAGTCTCCCCCTCATTTCGGAGCCAACCGAAGGCGTCCACCCCGCATCTCCAGTCTTCACATTCAGTCCGTCTAAACGCAGCTGTCATTTGCTGGTACCACACCAGCTTTGGTGTTAAAGCCCGTCGCTGCATCTCTCCCTGCTCATTCCCCTCCAAGCAGAGCAAACGGGTAAAACCGGTCAACCCGAAGGTCAGTGCAGCCAATCTTCTTGACACCTCTAACTCTGGTCGCACCTTCTATGTTCGCGAAACTGCGACTCTCAGACGTTACCTGGTGGAGACTGGAGCCCAAATCAGCGTTGTTCCCCCAACTGCAGCTGATCGCCGTTTTCCTAGCCCTGGTCTTCATCTCCAAGCTGTCAACTGTTCCCCTATTCCCACTTTCGGTAGTCTGTCCCTCACCCTGAACATTGGCCTTCGTCGGTCATTTACTTGGATCTTTGTGATTGCTGATGTCCCTCATGCAATCCTCGGCTCGGACTTTCTTGCCGAGTTCGATCTTCTGAGATCGCCTGAGATATGGCTGCGAAAGGAAGAAACAGGTCAGAACATTTGTTTGTGCACGTCTGACCGCTGACAAAAGGTCATCGGTGTGAGGAGGAAACAGCAGTTAGGCAAAAACTATGTCCTGAAATACGCAGACCTTAATGTGGGAAGACGTCTAAAACGTTTTTCTAAGTATTTCTAGAAATTTATTAGCGGCGAAAACAAAGTGCCATTTGAAAACATGAGAGATTAGGGATATGAGGGAGGTACTCACTGAGTGTACATCCAAAAAATAAAGACCCAAGTGGGCCTGAAATGGAACAGCTTTCTCTGAAGCGACATTTGGACAACAGGGAGTTAGTAGGTGAGCACTCCCAGGATGGCCCTTTTGAACGAGAGCAACAAGAGGAGATGTTCGTGAAGGGACTAAAACATGAAGGTGGCAATGTGAACGTCAACCTATTCCAGCAGATTAAAATTAGAGACGGCTAATTTAATGCAAAAATTGGATTCCGCTATGTGTTAACGATTTCACAGAGGTGCATATAATTTCGGGGGGAGAGATGGGTGGCCTATGAATAAAAGTAGTGATTTTCTTCATTGGAAATAGACAGGGGGGAGTTACAGCACGAGATGTGAAAAGGATGACCACAGAGAAAGAAAAATAAGTTGTAATAATCTGGGAAATGTTTCAGAGAAGATCCTTTATAAAGGCAGAAAATCATCACCATATTTACCTACATATCAATATACATTTAAGTTTTCTACAGAAGAAAGTGAGTCAGAAAATTATAACCTGCATTTAAAATTCGATTATGTACATATGTGGTACCTGACTTTATCTCAGAAGCAGCAGCTATAACTTGAGCTGTATTTTAATAACATCTCACACTTTCAGTATGAGCATACTTACACAAAAGATTGAGGCATTTGTAAAAAACGCATAATTATCCTGAAATGAATAAAATGTACGAAATTTCCATTTGTTGCTATAGGAGCAGTTAACATGGTGCGATGCACAAGAATTCTAAAAAAGTAGGAGATGGGATTTCCAAAAAAACACTATTAGAGTGAAAATATGGTGATATTCGTTGAAGGTGAGCATGAAGAATATGGAGATTTGATCAGGAAGGTAAGTTAGCATGGTTTGAGGGGGTTGTTGTAAGACGCAGCTGAGGGCAGATTGAATTGAGATAGAGGCTGGAGGGGTTGAGGGGGAGGGGCTGTTAAAAATATGCCCACGAGCATTTGAAGGCGATCGTACTGTTCTGCTAGTATTCATAAAAAATCCGGCTGAAGACCTAACCTACTATGTAGGGCGCATTGCCGTCATAATCGAAAATATGCGTTTACGGTCGTAAATGAGGGGACGAGATACCATGAGCTGAGCACATACTGCCCTAGCGTTTCGTGAACGACAAGGTTCCATGGTCAGAAACTAGAGCGAAACCGCGTCCCGCAGGATTTAACAGTGTTTACTACAAAAATAGGTTGACTGTTCATTAAAGCCTTTCCGCGATGTTATGCCCTTGTGAGCTGTGAGCTGGAATCGGGCGAGGGAGGATAAAACTAACTTATTGGTAATCTCAAAATCCGTGTACGTATGTTTCCTACCCATTTCACATCGGTGGATTGAATTTGTGGCGGTCAAGGATGTGAGATCAACTTAAACCACGCACAATAAGTTCGTTTCGTCTACTGTCAGAAGTCAGGGAGCTGTGAGGACTAGTTTATTCTGTACACAGGGCTGGTTGCCGTAAGTTGGCGGTTTGCTTGCAACAGAGAAAAGCGTCCGTTCGCGGAGAGCGTCAGTCGCGGTGTGTCTTGTTAACGCGAGTGTCAGTGCCTAAGTCAGCAGGAGGGGGTGACCGTCTGCGTGGTGGTCGTGTGATTGGACTAATTAGGGGACGAATGGAGGGCGCATACTCACAAGGCCTCACGGGAATCAAGCCAAAGCGTTCGACGCGCGTTAGGCGATATTAGTTTTTGAGTGCAGCCGGGGTTCACTGCAGCTGGACCGGAGGTGTCCCAGTTCTAGCCGGCGGGGTTGGTCGTGCGTCAGCGGCCTGTCAGTGCTTGTCACGGCCATCGACCGACAAAACGGAGCCGGAGAAAAGGGGGCTGGAGCGGCTGCTACAAATTAAGTAAATTCATCATCTTTACGGTGTTGGGTCCGAATGCTTACAAGTTCCCATCTAAGTAACAAGCGTTCACTGCTCAGCTCTCCGTTTACGCTAATCTACAGTCTTACCAGCGGCTTCGAGGCTTTCTATACATTGGTCAAACAATTTTGGGTTGACACTCTATTCGATAGGTTGCCACCAGCCTGCATACGGAATGTCCTTGTAATTAACCTGTAATATTAGTTTTATAATTAGGTCCCCGGAAGAATTATCAATGCAAAATCAGTAACGATAGGCTAGGACGCAGTATGCGACCCCACTCAGGAAACAATACCAGGTCATCATGTAATACGAGTTCTATGAGTGGGACAGGACAACGGGAAGGATAGCCCGATATCAGGTAAATATTCGAACAAATGTTGATGCGGAATATTGTGTCCTCGCGCCTAATTTCTCTACAGCTAATTGCAAAAAAGCACAAATACCAGGAAGCCGATCACTGAGGAATTATAAGAGTACCAAGACATCTGACATTACAGGAGAAAGTTGGGCACTTTTCGCAGTTTTCCAGTTTGCTTTCACAAAAGAACTAGATTGCATTGCACTTAGTTAAGAGAGCGCGGAAGCGTCAATTATAAGAAGGCGAGGACGCAATATACCACGAGGACTTCTGTTCCCTCAGCGGAGTCGCATACTGCGTCCTTGCCCAACGAGCTAAGCGGAACAATGTAAACAACGAGTTCGGTCATAGGTTCTGTATGGGCAATCAGCTGTAAATTGAAATTTGAAAAAGGTCCTACATAAAGCAGAAGGAATTTTTGGCGTCCACCGGAGATTTGTCTTTTCATAGACAATACTTATGATAATAATATCGACAAATTTCCAATTTGTAGGCTTTAGATCAAAAAAGAAACCCCTGGGTCAGATAGTAAAAACTCCTTAATTAAAGGCACAGGATGATTTCCGGAAACTCGCATATTCAGGTGAGTTATACGGAAGAAAACTTGCTCTGGGAAGGGGATGTTGAGGAGCAGGACGTATTTACCTCGAGAGTAGGAGGCAGTTGTAGCGGCAGATCAGCAGACGGACAAGAAGGCCATTATGTTGAGCACGGGGATGCTAAGTTGCGGTGGACAGAGGCTGAGGCCCTCCTTATTGTGACCGCACACTTACCTTACACATCGGCCTCGTCGGTCACTTGCAAATCCATGGCACAGTGACTGGCGAACCAGTGCCTTGAGCACCAACCGACACTCGTCACATTCGCCTCCACTGTTCGCACTGCCCTCGCACATTCACTCACCGCATTGGCCTATTCGGTCACATGTCTATCCATGAGAGCGGAATTGACCGCAGTCTCGACAGACCTAGCACCTCCTGCACATCCACTATGCCTAGCTCAACACACACCCCGCTGCCCGGCATACCCACCGCCACCAGTTCCATCATACTCAGCACATCGTGAATATCCAGCATGCCTAACCCAACGTACACCCCGTTGCGCAGCGTGCCCACCATCAGAAGCTCCCCCACTGCCACCATCCTCGAAACCGACGCTGACACCGTCGACATTCCCTCTCCACACTGTCCCCGTACATTCACCTTACGCAACGGCCTGGTCGGTCATCTGCGAATCCACCGCACAGACACTGGCGAGCCAGTGCCTCGAGCACCAACCTATACTCACCAAGCTCATCTCAACTGCCCACACTGCGCTCGCACCTTCAGGCATCGCATGGGACTATTCGGCCACATGCGCATCCACGAGAGCGGCATTGACCGCAGCCTTGACACATCCACAACGCTAGGCCCCACTCCCAGTTCATCACCTTGTGGACCCACCAACCTCTCCGCAACCGCCGTCGATGCCACCGACTTTACCACCCCTCACTCCACCCCTTCCTACTCCTCTTCCTCCTTCACTGCCACAACTACGGCGGCTTCGGCGTCTGTCGCCCACGACTTCACCACAGCCGCACCTGACACAACAACAGGCACAACCCCTGCAACCTCCATCATCAGACGTGAGGGCAAGGACTACATCTGCCCTCACTGCGATCGCACCTTCATTTCACGCATCGGCCTGGTCGGTCACTTGCGAATCCATCGCACAGAGACTGGAGTACCAGTACCTGGAGCACCAGACGCATCCGCCTAAACTGCCGTCACTGCACTAGTACCTTCCTCCATCGCATGGGCCTACTAGGCCACGTGCGCATTCGCGAAAATCTGCGGTAGACAACCGCCGGCCAAACCACGCCACTACATCTTCATCCACCCGCATCATGCAACATCATCCACCACAAGCATCCAACTGCCACCTTCCACGTAGGTGGGAAGTGTGCGTCTCGGCTCCGTCTCCGTGTTACTCCTTTGCTGCATGTGCGGTTCGAGTCTGAGGTTATCAAAGAGCGTCAAGATCTGTCGCTTGGAAGGCTGCTGACTGAAGCTCCAACTCAGTCCACGCAGCCCGCCCATGTGTGTGTGTGCGTGCGTGTTTGCCCCCTAGACGGGCCACGTGGTAGATGCGCTGGACCAACACGGGGGACACATAAGACTCTCGCAGGCGTTATCTATGCGCAATAATAAATGCCAACATTCACGGGGTGCTCTGGCAGACCATGTTGTCGGCAGTCGTCGCACAACTGGGACCACTGTCATCCTCCAATTGTCTTGTGTGTCAAAATTCTGGCCATTTGTTGAGAGGATCAGGGGGTGCGGACTGGAGCGCCAAGGTGAGGATCCGTCCGAGCCATCCACCTGCGGCCTCCCTCGTCTCCGACCCCATCGCGCTCATTTCCCGCATCTGTTAGCTGACCGGCTCTGACAGTGACTGGGGCCTGAGAATAGGAAGCGAGAGTGAGGTCGACGGCTCAGCGCATTTTCCTCACTACAAACAATCTGATTCGCTTGAAGCTACTGCGGTGCGCTAAAAGCCATGGCTTGGAAGGCTGCCAACTGACGGGATAACTTGGACCTCGCAGTCGGCCCAGTACTGTGTGATTGGGTGGAGCGGCCGACTGGTGGTCTAAGAGTCAGGTTGCAACGGCTCCTTAATGTGGCCTTTATGGCACTCCCACTCCGTGGGATCCGAACCATGTGTGACGGCACGCCTTGGTGCGGCTCCGGCCGCACCAGTCACCCTATTGTTGTTGTTGCTGTTGTTGATCAGAAACCCGGTCATTAGCTGCGTGGACCAGGGGGTGTGAAGTGGAACGCTAAGGTGTGGTCTCGACTGTGTCATCCACCTGCGCCCTCCGCCGCCTCCAGTCCTCTCGACTCTCTCTTGATTCCGGGTCCAGGTGGGGGAGGAGGGGAGAGTGCGGTAGGCGCTGTGATAGTCTGCTATCATAAAATAAATCAAGCGCAATTCACCTTGCCTGCTTCACCTTGTTGTGTAGCACACGGTGGACATCATCGGCAACGACGGTCGAACTGTCGTATGCTGCAAGAAAGACCGTTCAGAGCCTGATGACTGTCTTGATTGTATACCCAACCTCCAACGTCCCCCTTATCTTGCGGTCGTTCCTTCGGATAATTACCTCAGCATCTTCTATGGCCTAACGTGCCGCCAGCGAGTTCATTCGTTTCCCCGGGTTGGCACTCCTCTAACACAGGCTTTTGGTTAAGTGTTGGATTTTTTGAGGTAGTTTGATGGGTTTTACCTCGTGGCGGTCGACTCTTCCACCGCACGATCTGACACCGGATCATTGTTTAGCATAGTTAACTAACCGCCAATCTTCCCAGGTCGATGACGATGAATAACGGTCCTGAACATACTGATAGTATACGTCAGCGTTCGCCAGATCCTCGTTGCTCTGTCCTGGAGCCCTTCATATGACAGGTATAAATGTAGTCATTTGTGAAGATTTAGAAATTCTAGCGGAAATGGGAATTCCTTGAGTTCCTTGAGCCGTCATTCGGTTCATGAGCGGAACAGGTCGTTGAAACATACAATTCTTGTGGCAAAACGGAGGCGCGAGGGGAACTTCTGAGCGGGATTTGATTAAGGCAGATGAATTTAAAAGCCTTTGCATAGCGGTAGCCGTGAATGGTTTATGGGACATGGAGAGCTTGCGTGAGGGGAGAAAGGAGGGATTCACTGTAGTGCATCCTTGAGGAGTAAAACTAACTGGTTCCTCGGGATAAATGGTAGTGTCCTCTGACCGACAGATATTCTCGTGAGAGATGGATGATTTTATTGGCAGGCGAAACGTAAGTTTCCGTTCCTTCTGCGTGAAGTCGTGATGAGGGGAACTTTTGGGTGCCAGGAAGTTCGTCAACGTTATGTGAAAATCGATTCAACTTAACTGATCATAAGCATTTAGTTAAACCATTCACTTATCTCTATAGCCCACTCGCACGCCTTAATCTTGTTCAACAACGTTGATAGGCAGCTACAAATGCATGCTCTATTAACGCTAGAGCCTAATATAGAGCCAGATAGGATTGTCCGAAAGGTGCTGCATCAAGCCGATCGTCATTATAATTCTTGCTTTTTGCGTTTTTAACGAAGGTGCGACTATGGCTCCATCGAAAGATTTTGACAAGCTCCTTTCTAAACATCCGCTTGAAAATTTAATGACACAACGACGTTCACGATCGCTCATAATTCGTCTAATGACCATTACAAGATACTAACTACGAAATCGCTATAAATTATAGTCGGTAACCATCATCTGTCCATGATTTTCTCAACACAGAGGCAACAAGGGGATTTTATTGTTGGTCGTATAAATATTCTCTCGTGCGTTTGGTATGAAAAGTTTCTTCTCATAGCGTCGCTTAGAAATGTCTATCCGCCTTTTAACATTCTTGCTTCTGTACCGCGCAAAATTACAAATACTCCGACGGAGCTTCAAGTGACCTAGAGCACTGTTCTGACAACGTTCGCTCTAAAGTGGTTCAAAATTGCTTTTATTGCTGGACCTCAGGCACGTCTAAGCTACTAGGAGAGCTTAAATCAAACGTGAAAAGTTGCAAGGTCAATCAGAACCAGTTATAACCAAAAACCTGTGTATCAACGTCTCATCCGCGAAACCAGCTGTTTTGTTTGCTAAACTACACGACTTTATGATGCATCGGCAGCTCCATTTGTACATTCCGCAATTTAATGCATTATCTGAACTCGAATTGCATTCAAAAAGGCACTTAACTTCACTTCCGACCAATGAAATTCGCAACCTTTTCATTCGCATCAGTTCGCCTGACCTGGACGTCTCCCACGTTTGAGCAGTAGGCATAAGTATTGAATGTCAATATTGTAAAAATAATTATCACACATTATATTCAGAACGGGGTGGTTCGCATGTAGGTCCGTATATTAAAAGTGTAGATTTTGAAAGGGTTGAATTCCAATCACAAACAAAAGCCTGCATTCGCACACGTCATTTCTAAACATCTAGAGTCTTCTCAGTGAGACGCATCATACGAAAAGTGTGCACTAACTGGCAGTCCGAATGCGAACGGTGCGCCACGTTAGTTTCTCTCATTTGGAATAGCAAAGTTGCCGGCAAGTCATAGATAAACTGAACCGACAGTTCAACCGTCGTGTCCGACGATGTCCACCATGTGTTCCAGAGCAAGGTCAAACAGGTGCGGTGACTTGAGCGGGAATTAGTTCATGACAGGAGTAGACTTGTGTAGCATCTACCGCACTGTCTCCTCTTCCCCCACTTGGAGCCGGTGTCAAGACATGGCCAAAAAGACCGGTGGGGAGGATGCAGGTGGCTGAGACGGCTGGACCCGCACCTAGGCGTACCACCACACCCTCTGGTCCACAACAAACACTCGACCAGGATTTCTACCACCAACAACACAAAAACAGGTCAGAAAGACGAGGACGACTGGGCAACCATGCTCACGACCTGTATACCCGGCGGGAGCGTAATCGCACCTACCGGCAGGAAACCAGATGCCTGAGAACTACCAGCACGTACCAGGCTGCGAGAGCCATGGTTTGCTGTTCCTGGCATAGCAGAGGCTTACATTCATTGAGGCTCAGAAGGGTAGCACACAGCCTTTTACTGAGCCTGGGCCATCACCCTTTAAAAGTTGGGTAGCCAGTCGGTCATCGACTGAAAGGCACTACCTGCATGCCCTCGCACTCCGCACATGTGTGAGAGTACCAAAGATCGCAGTAAGGAGCCGTGGCAGCCTGGCTCTCAGCCCACCAGTCCTTGACTCCACCCAAACACCCACAACTGGGCAGACTGCGTGGACTGAGGTGAGGCGTTGACCGGTAGCCTTCCAAGCTACGGCGTCTGACGTACTGTGATATTCTCAGACTCGGATCACACATGCAGCAAGGGAACCACATGAAAAAGGAGCTGAGAAGCACACTTCTCACTTGCGTAGGGGAAGCAACTGAGTCATTTTGTTGTGTGACGATGGGCAATATTGTGTGGTGTAGGTGCTGGTGGGGGAAGGTATGGTGGTATAGTGTAGCCGGTGGTTGTCTGCCGCAGGTCTTCATGAATGGGCATATGACCTAATAGGCCTATGTGGTGGCTGGATGCGCGGGGGTAGTGAGGGCAGTTGAGGCGGATGCGGCGAGTGAAGATTGGTGCTGCTGGCACTGGTTCGCCAGTCTCTGTACGATGGATTCACAAGTGACCGACCGGGCCGATGTGTGGGATGAATGTGCGATCACAATAAGGACGAGGATGCATCGAGTCTGCATCGTTGGAAGTGGTGGTGGTGGTGGTAAAAGGCGATGGGGAGTCGGACGTCGTTATATCGATCGGGGGAGTGCGTGATGTCGTGGTGGTGGTGATGAAGCTATTCGCTGCTGTCGATGCAGGGGTTGGGGGAAGGCGGATGGTGTCTATGGTTGATGGCGTCGGGGCAGCAGCAGTGCGATTGGCGGTGACGGGGGGAGCGATCGGCGCGGGGTTTGCGGGAGGGGCGAGAGTGGGGGAAGTAGACGTTGCCGGATTGTTGGCATACTGGGTCCGAGGATGTCCCGTGAGACCAATTTCTGCTCGAAATGCGCGTTGGCAGCGCGAGCATGCTGGAAGCGGTTGGCGTTGAAGAGGCAAGGCACTTGTGATTTACGATCCTCCCTTTTGGATTTGGCAGCGGCTATCCGATTTGCTTCGTAGATGGCTGCGCCGCTCTTCACTTCTCTTCTCCATGCGGTCTGTTCTGAGCAAGGTCCTCCCAGGTCTCCGGGTTTATCTGCAGCCATTTCAGAGAGTCTTTTAAAGCGTCCTTTCAACACTGTTTTTGTCCTCCTTTTTGACGAATACCCATCGCGGCATCACGATAAAAGAGTTATTTTAATAGACGTGTGTCTGCCATCCCCACGAAATGGTCACTCGAACGTAGCTGCAGTTGTCTTAACACGGCGTGAACGCTGAGGATGCCGGTCTGTTCTTGGACTTCCGTGTCGGTGATCCTCTCTTGCTATCCCAGCTTTAGTGTTTGCAAAGGCAGTTAAAATGGATGTTATTGAGTTCCTTGGCATCTTTGGAGTAGACGGTTCAGATCTCCGCTCCGTAGAGAAGTGTCGTCAGGACGACGGTTATGTACATCTTTACTTTGATATTCAGTTGGAGGCCGTGACGATTCCACATGGAGTTCTGCAACCGGCCGAAGGCTTAGCAGACCTTGGAGATCCGGTGGGCAACCTCATCGTCGGTTCTTGCATTGTTGGAAAGTGTGGTTTCAAGACAAGCGAAAGTGTCCACGGTTTAGAGTTGGTGGCCGTCGACGGTGATTCAAGGATGAGTGCGGTGGGGCATGTTGAGTGACGGTTGGTGCATGACCATCGGTTTGTCTGTGACGATAGTCAGGCCGGCGTTTACGCACCGGGCGGTGGGAAGGCCCATGCCCCGTTGCATGTCTACTTCGGTCGTGGCGTTGAACGCCCATCCATCAGCGAAGAGCAGGTCATGGACGCTGGTCGTAGATAGTCGCGCGGGGGACTGCATACTCATGCTGTTGAGAAGATGCCCGTCAGTTCTGTAGGCGATGCGTGTTCCAGGCGCTCATTACGGTTGGCGTCCATCAGCATGACCGAGAACGTGAAACTGAAGAGGGTAGGTGCAGGACGCAGTCCTGATTCGCTCCGTTGGTTACTGCGAATACCTTGGAGATTGAACCGTTGTCCGCGATGCGCGCCGTCATGCCATCGTGGTGCTGATGTGCCACGTGCGTGAATCTTTAAGGACAACCGAATTGTTGCATGATTTTCCACAGTCCTTCCCGATTCACCGTATAGAAGGCCTTCGTCAAGCCCGCAAAGGTAGTGTAGAGATGCGTTCGCATCTCCTGAAACTTAACCTGTAGCTGGCGAGCGGTAAACACCAAGTCAGTGTCGCCCCAGTACTGTCGGAAGCGACATTGGCTTTCCGGCAGAAGTCCTTACTCGAGGTGTCCGTTGGGGCGATTGGGAAGGATGCGGCCGAAATTCTTCCCGGCGATGTTGAGTAGCTAGGTGCCTCGGGGATGGTCACAAGCCTACCGGTTTCCTTTGCACTTGCGAAGTGAACAATGGTTGCGTCCTTGATGACCTGAGTAACTTGCCCGTTGCGCCTCATTTCCTGAAATAGCGCCGTGGTTGTATATTTCGGCTTGGAATCGTATAGGGGCCTGGTGCTTTCTCGCTGGAGATTTGTTGCACGGTGCGAATGGTTTCTGGAAGGGAGGGCGGGAAGTCCAGGTCGACGTAAATTTCCACTTGGGGGAGTCAGTCGATGGCGGCCTCGGAGATTGTGGAGGGACGACCGAGGACGCTTCTAAAATTCTGGGTCCAACGCTTAAAAATCTGAGATTCCTCCGTCAAAAACATTGATCCATTGGAACTGAGAAGCGGCGCAGTTCTTTTGGCTGGGGGACAGTAGATAACCTTGATCGCAGCGAAGAAGCTCTTTAATTCGTTTTGGTCGGCGAAACTCTGGATCGCCCCGGCCTTACAAGCCATCCAAGCGTCTTGCATTTCTCGCAACCATTGCTGCGCCAGGCGGCGACAATGGTGAAAGGGCGCCTTGTTTGCATTGGTTAAACGGCCGACTTAGGCTCTGTGCAGCCTGTTCTTCTCGGCGAGCAGGTAACTGATGACTGCGTCGCTGTCGCTGTCGCCGGCGACGTGCGCGACCGAAGACAGACAAGGCAGTCGAATTAATGACGTCTAGTAGTTGGCACCATCGAGTCTCCAGGGCGGCGTTTTCGTCTCCAGCTGGCAGGTATTCCAGTCGCTGGGTCAGTTGATTGATAAAACGCAAACGGTAGGCAGGCAAAGACAACAAAGCAGTATTCAGCCAAACTGGGGTGGCTTACCTTGTGGCCTCCTGCGGACCTGCAAACGGAACATCCTCTTGGAGATGACGAGGTGGTGGTCCGTCCAGCCATCGGTCTCGCAGGCCGCCATGCTCACCAGCACGCCCTTTCGATCTCGTCGCCGGACGAGATCCTAGTTCAGCAGCTGGCAGCGCCACGATCGGGGGGCACATCCAGGTAGCCCTCTCCCTCATTGACAGGTGGAAGGCTATGTTGGTAAGCAGGAGACGGTGGTTACGTAGGTTCACAGGAGAAGGACGCCATTGTCGTTGCAACTGGCGATTCCGTGAGGACCCAGCACTCCCCTCCAGGCGACATAGTCTGTGCCGACGCGGGCGTTGAAGTCACCAAGGACAATCAACTTGTCCGCCTTCGACACAGCCGCCAAGAGGGTGTGCAGGTCCTCGTAGAACTTTGCATTCGCCTGACCTGAGTCAGTTATTGTTGGGGTGTAGGAGCCGATGATAGTGACGAATATACCTCCCCGGAGTGGCAGGCGGAGGGTCATCAGGCGATTGTTGATGCCCTGCGGCAAACAGGGCAGTCGTCCCACGATGTTGTTCCGGATGACGAAGGCGACACCCGCTTCACTTCGCTCTGGCCTGGGGCGACCACTCCAGAAGAAGGTGTAGCGGACACCCACCTCCCCCAGTTGGCCTTGTTCGGAGAATCGAGTCTCGCTGAGTGCGGCGATGTCCACCTTGTAGCGCGTCAGTTCCCGAGCCATTAGCGCCGTCCTCCGTTCCGGTCGGTTGTTTCTAAGACTATCTAAAAGGAAACGAATATCCCAGCCTGCCAGAGTGGGCGGACTCGTCCTAGCTGCTTGTGGTGTGGGGGAGGAAGAGAGAGAGAGAGTATGATGTCTTGTGTTTTGCTTTTGACCGAAGGTATACCACTCTGCGGGCCACGGTCTGCACGCAGGTGTCATGAACCCAGTTTTGTTCAGGGTACCTTTTATAGCCCCCTCACACTCGCGGGGGTAATCAGTGATGTCCCTAAATAGGGCTGCTTTGTCGTGCCAGACGGATAGCGCCCACCATTATGGGTTACTGGGTTTTGTGAGAAAGCGGCAATTGCCCTGGGTCGCCCACGTGATGGCATGTCGTCGTCACCGTAGAACTTTCAACCGTGGAAACGAATGCCTAGTAGAGAGTGGTAAAATGAAGGGCGGAGAAAAGGTAGGAAGGAGCAGAAAGGGGCAGCTCTAACAGCTGCTTGGTCAGTAGCTTGTCGAGTGCCGAAATGCGAGAGTGAGGAGGCAAAGACAACCAGCGGTAATCGGTTTACCTAGGGGGTCACTGATCTTGTGGCCTCCTACGGGGTTGCAGACGGAGCCTCACCTTGGCGATGGTGATGCGATGATCCGTACGGCCAGTGATGGTAGGAAGGGAGCAGAGTTGCCGTGTGTGGAGACGCACACACGGACACCCTCACATGGTTTAGCCCGCCGGTCGAGATGGATACTGACACGCGGCCGCTAGGCGGAGCCTGGCTTCTAGGAACCACAGGTGAGAGTTTGGTGCCAGTTAATGGACTCTAGACGTTGTCAACGCCTGAAAGCAAGTGAATGACTTGACAGTTCGACCGTCGTTGTCGACAATGTCCACCGCATGCTCCACGACAAGGTGAGAGTGGGAACGGTGACTTGTGCGTGAGTTCGTTTATAGTAGCAGTAGTCTTGCACAGCGACTTCCTACGATCACCACGTAGACTCGCAACTGGACATCCCAACACCACATTAACAGCAGTAGTAGTCACTAATTAAATCAACCTTGTTTTATATCTCCATCGTCTCGTCTCGTTCTGGATTAACTGAATACTTAGTCGGGAGAAACTCGGTGTTCTTAACGGAACTCGAATCCGCAGCAGAAATTAAGCCATCACTCTGACCAGCTCATTTACGGGGCATCGACAGCGAGAACTGTTTTGGAGTTCAACTGCATGGTCATCAATATTACTACCCTACTTAAGTTATATTTTCGGATCGAGAGCACACCTCAAAATTTCTGTCAACTTTACATAAGATGTCTAATCTGCTGTACATTTCCAGTCTGCCGTAACATATGGAATCCAATAGTTGTATACAGTAGGCCGACTTCCCGACCAGATGAATACGACAAAAATGAACTAAATTGTTCTTCGACAAATTCAAACAGTCCAGTCGACCATAAAATAGTGGAAAAGGCGGACGACGTGACAGAGATGGTTGGGCTTTATCAAATCCTGCACGCTAACTCCTTATTCGCCCTACAATGTCAATGAGGCTGGGGGCATTGTATGCCATAGAACTTTGAAATAAAATATGTCTCCTAGTTGACCATTCTGAAAGTTCTTTCTTATGCTGAAAAGCGTTTCAGTCTCCATTTCCCTCGAAGAAAGAACCCGTGATGTGGTGAGTCTGTTAAATTAAATTGCGGGAAATCAGCGGAATTGACAACGTAAAGGAAACAATAGCTGGACAAAGTGCACAGGGGTTTGCAGTCGTTTTGCCAAAAAGTGTCCAGTTGGAAATTTATCGCCTCGCGTTGATGATATCAACAAATTCGGGTTTCAGGGAAGCACCGCCAACCAAGAAACCATCAACATCCGGCTGACTTCCAAGTTCCTTTGCATTACCGGCGTTCACCGAACCTAGGTTTTCAGAGAATAGAGCAAACAAGAACTGTCAACAAGAATAAGGCGGGTGGGGGTGCACGATATCCAGATAATCCCCTGATGATAACTTCGTCTGCGTAAAATGCAAGGCAGTCAGGGTTTTCCAGCCTGTTAACATTTTAAAAAAGCAGCTGATAGATGATAATATACTAATTTCCTCTGCACGCTACGAACAAAGGTAAATTTCACTGACAAAAAGACTCTAGAGGGAAGTTGAACGGAAGGCTGGGTCAGACGACAATAGAAAAAGTCACTCACCTCCATACAGAATCCTGACCTTAGTAGCGACACTGGGGTCAACATGGTCACGAATCCAATCACGAACGGCCTTGTGAACTTCTTGGGCCTGAGCGGGGGTGGCCGTCTTCCCGGTGCCAATAGCCCAAACAGGTTCGTACGCGATGACAACACGATCCCACTGGGCTCCACTTATATTCTCTGATAAGGGAGACAATGCAGGGGATCATATGAGATTGGCGAAACTGGAAACGATCTTAGCTGGCCCTTGTTTTGCAAAACAACTTTCTCTTGCAATAGAAAAACCGGGGTCGAGAAACCACGAAAGGTGGGTCAGAACCCCGCAGGGTGGCAAAGTTAATAAGAATGAACATTGGAGGTAAAATATTACGAATTAACGACGGAAAAGGGTAGACACTTCCTAGGAAGCAGAACGCAATTATAGCTGTTAGTTGCATAAGGCAAAAAACAGTTAAGGGGAGGGGTGTGTATCCAAAATACGCCAAACTGTCCACGAGGAATTAACCGCAAGTTCGAGTTTTCAAAACACCGCTCGAGCCGACATGAGGAGAAATGCCTGAAGTGCAATTAATGAGGATGTAGGCGAATTTCCAGAGAAGCTAAGGACCACGAGCGAGAAGACAATGATTTGACTCAACCCAAAAAGGCCTGACAATGCAAGCAGACTGGACTGGAGTTGAAGCAACCACTGGGAGTAGGGGCAGCCGTGGGCATGGAACGACAGAAACGTATGACTCCTTCTGAATACAAGGATTATGGAATACTCTGTATTTTGGTCGAGAGTACGAGCGCGGAGGGGAGATCTAAACAAACTTCAAACAGCAGCTGTCATAGTCTTCTCTGTCCTAGGTAGCTCACCACAATAATATGGCCCATATAGTGAAATCGGAGTTTGTCGTGTCCACTTACATGTTGCTGCTAAAAGTCATGGCGTCCGAGGCGCACGAATGCAAACTAGGATTTAGAAGAATGTATTGAGAACAGCCCTATATCCCCTGTCCAACTTAAAGCTTGCTAGTGAAGGCATGAGATAATCACGAGACAGATAAATAAACGAGTATTTACTGAAACGAAAGCCTATCTACATCCGCATAGTCAGATTATGAGAATTCTGCCCAACCGCAACTTTTGATTGTAAGTTGTAAGCTTTCTCGCCGAGACTCCCTAAAGTTGGCCATACGGACAAGGTAATTCTCACAAGATTTTGGCTCGTGGAAGTGTTCACATCACAGATCGACCGACCCAAAAGGAGGACGGCGCTCGTCGCTCAAGACCTGGTACGTCACAAGGTGGACATCGCTGCTATCAGCGAGACACGACTATCCGGATAGGGTCAGCTGGAGAACATGGGTGCCGACTGCATTTTCTTCTGGAGCCTGACCAAGCGACGCTGGCGTCCCCTTTGTCACCCAAAATGACATCGTTAGACAATCGCCCCGTCCACTGCAGGGCATCAGCGACCGCCTCATGACCTACGCCTGCCTCCTCGGGGAGCCAAATTTGCCACCGTCATCAGGGCCAACGCATCCTAAATGAATAATTACAGCGAGATAAAGAACAAGTTCTACAAAAATCTGTACGCCTTTCTGGTGATCATGCCGATGGCGCGCAAGCTAACTGTATTCGGTGACATCAATGCTCGCTTCGGAACAGGCCACAATGACTTGGAGGAATTGTCGGGTCCTCACAGAATCGGGGTCTGCAACGACAACAACCCCCTTCTGCAGACTTAGCAGAGCGCTGCCTACTCACCAATACTTTCGCCCGCCTTCCAGCGCCAGAGAAGGCGACTTGGATATGCCCATGTTCGCGGCGCCGACAACTGTTGGATTACGTTCTCGTCTGGAGGCGAGATTAACAGGGCGTGCTTGTGGCTAAGGCGACCTGCGACACCGATGGCTGAACGATGCCCGTTTCGTCATTTTCAAGGCGAGGTTCTGACTGAGATTTCGCAATGGTCCATAAGGTAAGTGACCGCCAGGTAGGTTAAGTACTGTTCTGTAGAATGCGCTCGATGTCTGCCTAGATTTTAACAGTCAACTGGCTCATTGTCCGAAAGAACAGCAGACTTCAAAAGACAACTTCAACTTGGAGATAAATGATGTCAACAGCGGAGCTCAGTCCATTCAACCGCCATGGATGCTTTGGACCGTCCACGACGCCAACGCCAGGACTGATTCGACAGCAATGAGAAATCACCAATCGTTTCCCAGGAAAGAATAGGCTGCCCAAGGCCTGCATGAGCCGCATGGTTGGCGCAAAAAAGGTTCCCTTCTCCCATCCTCGACGCCCGGTTCAGCAGCGACTGAGGAAGATGAAGAACGACTGGATAAACCGCAAGACTATGGAAAGGCAATGTGACGTGCACAGCAAATACCTAGGAATTTCTTCGCCTCCATTAGAAAAATCTACGGTCTTCATTCCAAAACATCCACACCACTGCTCAGCTCCAACATAACAACGCCGCACGTGGAGAAATCGCTGATTCTGAAGCATTGGGCTGAGCACTACAGAACCACACCCAATCACACACCCGCAGTCTCCAGTGACGCCATCGACAGGTTTTCCGAAGTGGAAATCAACACAGACCTGAACCGTCCGCATTCCTACTTAGAGACAACCAGAGTCGAGCAACAGCTCTCCAGAGGGAAAGCAGCGGGACCCGACACAATCCCGGTCGAGGTCTACAGTCACGACCTCCCTCGCCTGATAGACAAACTTATAGCACTCCTTCAGAGGATACGGCGACAGAGACAAGTTCCTTGGGGCTTTAAGGACGCCATTATTGTACAATTTTGCAAACGCACGGGCAACCGTCAAGTTTGTGGAAAGCATCGAGACACTTTCCTCCTCAACAGCACAGAGAAAATTCTTGCCCCTGTCCTCCATAATCGCCCGAACACCCACTCAGAAAAAGAACTCTTAGAAAGCTTATGTGAATTCCGAAGAAGTCGCAGTATCGTTACCATCTGCCAACCATAAGAAAAGGGCCAGAAAATGCGTAGAAGTCTGTAGACTACTTTCGTAGACCTGACAAAGGCGATGGAATCTGGAGGATCCTGCTAAAATTCGGATGTCCGGAGCACTTCAGACATATGGTACTCCATCTGCGCGGTGGAATGATGACTCATGACACGGAAAATGAAGCAGTGTCAGAAGCACTTACAGTGGTCAATGGAGCGAGGTAAGGTTGTGTACTCGGCGTCACTCTCTTAAGTCTCATGTTGTCCCCCATACTCATAGACGCCTGCCATGAGAAGCGGCCAAAAGTCAACATCCCCTCCCGATTCAACGGAAAACTGCCCAACGCACGGCGCATGTAATCACGCCCAAGAATATTCCAGACCAGCACCCAAAACCCTCTGTTCGCGGATGAATGTGCACTAAATAAAGTAAAGAGCGCGGCCATGTAGGAGAGCAAAAACCTCTTCGCATTCCGTGGCGTCAAAGCCAGTTTTGACTATCAAGGCGGAGAAGACGGTGGTCATGACTCAGTCGGCGCCAGATACGGACTTCAAACAACCTCACATTACTGTCAATGAAGTTCCAATCATTACTGTAGACAAATTGGAATATGCAGACAGCCCGATCCAACGGAATGTCAGGACCAATGGCATTCCGGATCTTCAAAGTCAGCCAAACACTTGGTCTGCTACAGGCTTTGGCCTGAAACCACCGCAGACTTCAAGTCAACACCAAAATTAAGGTGTATATGGCGGTGGTCTTGCGACACTGCACAACGGGCGAAGACATGGAGAGTTTACGCCCACCAAGCGAGGGGTCTGAATTACTTTTACGCCAAATGCCTCCCAAGAATATAAAAAACGAGATAGTAGGAAAGGATTCTGGGCACTGAAGTTTTAGAACTTACCGGAATTCTCAACATCTACGGCAATTATAACTGGTCTGGAATGCCCACTTGAGGAGGACGAATGACAGGTGCTGAACCAAGCGACTCTTCTAAGGCTATGACGTTTGGGACGCTCGGAGATAAAGAGGGCAAAAAGGAGCTAGGACATCCTGACAACCACGACAATATGCAAATCATTCGGGGAACCAAGGAAGACTTGGCTCAGAATCGACCACTGACAACGCTCCCGATATTTCGCCATCCATCGCCACCATCACCGCAGCTCCAAACATCAAAACGTGTCCACATTGGGACATGACGTGCACACAACGCATGGCCTGGTCGGTCACTTGGGAATCTGTTGCACTGCAACTGGCGACTCAGTGCTAAAAACACCAACATATACCTGGCGCACTCATTGCAAATGGCCATACCGCCAAGGCATACTCATCACTGTGTCGGCCTACACACCCACATGTTCATCCACGACATCAGTATTCACCGCAATGTCAAAACTTCAAACCCACCGCGAACACCCGAAAACCCTCAACCACCATTGGTGATGTCGCCAATAGCAGCATCGTCACAACCACCACCTCCATAATCACCAACTTACCCTGCGCATCAAGCCTAGGAGGGTTAGGGAGGGGAGAGTGAGGCAGAAGCTGCACTAGTCTGCCATCCCCATAAACTGATCTGCACCCAATTCATCATACCTGCGCCCATCGTGCTGAAGCACACGGCGGACACCATCTTCCGTGGCAGTTAAACTCTCAATATTTAGAAGAATACACATCGGTGGGATCCCGTTTTATTGGCACACCCACGAATGTTTTAGACAGAACGTTTACTTTAAAAGCAACTAACAAAGACGGCGAGGCCCCGCATACCGTAACAATCATTTGAATCCTACAGCATTACTGAGCAGATAGGTGGGTTAAAATACTTGTTTGGTAGACAGCTAGAGGGTGCGTGGACACTGTCGATGTTTGAAAACGTCTGTAAGCCGCTGAAGTCCTTTTGTACTTAAAAACTCACCACTCACGACTAGACGATCGATCTTTCCCGGGGAGAAAAATGTTCCTCCATTTAGGCAAGCGGATAGTAATATCCCGACGCAATGGTTATGACCCACTTCGAAGGCTTGAAGCGCAATTGATATGTACTGGCCAAAAGCCATAAATAACTCAATTAAAAACTTAGCGTCACATTAGTGTAATGACAAAGCGCTTGACGCCGGTTGTAGTGTGGCATGCTAAAAATTTGTAAATATTGTCCATCAACGTAATAAATGCAAAAAAGACAGAGTTGTTCGAAAATATATGTAGACAGACGGGTTTGGGGTTATAGCGGAAACCAATCTGCACTTAAAAGGCATTTGCAACTATCTTTTAAAAAGTACGTACTGGCGAGGGCTTCCATTTGTTTAAAGCAGACATCATTGGTTTTCCCGGCCTCACGTTCCTCCAAAACTTCGCCAATACATGGAATTACGCTAAGGCCTACTTCCAAAGCATGTTTCACTTTTTCGCCAATAAGCTTAGAAAAGCAAACAGAGGCAAAGGCACAGTTACTAACAGTGTGGGCAATTCAGTGAATAGGCGCAGAAGCTGAAAAAATGGACTGATAAACCCTCAGATGCCGAAATGGTAAATTACCCAAGTACACAAAAGCCGGTAATTCTAAGAGTACTGGACCACTAAATAATGTTTGCAGAACAACTAGTTTAGAACAGTAAAAACGCAAATTGCAAAACAATTCTATGCTGAAACTTCTGGCGTAATCTTCGCCTACAAGTACCGCGGGACTTTCGCCGTAACAAAAAGCAGCTGATGTTTCCGACAATGCTATATTTCTTTGCAGTTATTAACGTAGAAAAAGAAAATTAAAACCGAACCGGCGGTCCCCTCCTTTGATACTTATAACCTGTGATTCCTGTGAGCACTCTAACTGCAAAAGACCGGCATGATCGCTTTCAGATTCATTTTTGTCAATTTCTATTCTACATATTTTAACGAAGTTCCAGTGTTCTAATTAAAAGCTGACTGCACATCAGTGATTATCAATAAGAAAGCAAAATACTACCTGGATGATTTTTAAATCATAATGGTTGTAAGGAGGAGAAACGGAAAAACACTAGAGGCATTTCGTGCCATAAGACCGACAACTTCGTCAAAAAAGTTTACAACCAACCTCGTCAGATTCGCCGAAAATGTGACGGCGCTCAGAGTGCCCCAATATTACCCACTGGCAACCGCAATCCTTAATCATGGCAGGGCTACAATAGAAATGGAAAAAGCGGATGCACCTTTAATAAACCTGGGGCATATCGCGACATATTATCAAGCGCAAAAGCTCATGTTACAATTCAATCTATCTTCTGAGCCTCTGTATAACTTCTGTCACTAAGAAAAACTTATTAGGACTGAATGGGAAACCTTTTGATCGTAAAAATTTACAAAATTTTGAACGAAGTTCACATTTCTGAGAAAGTCTAGATTAATGGCGACTGAGGCCGGAAGGCAACACGCGCAAAAAGTTCTTCATGCGTGACAGACAAAACAAACTTTGCGCTGGATAACTCTAGGAAGGAACTGCTGTGAAAGTCCTTTGGTGTGATAACGGTTCCATTACCAAATTTTCCTTATTATGGGTTTGCTAATACTCCAAAAAACCTTTCGCTTCAGAAGGCTGTAAAAACCCTTGCAGTACTCTGATTCACTTAAACATAATAAGAAAAAGTGCATTTTTATGAAATGGAAACCCTTCTAAAACCAGGAGGCAATGCCGTAGTTGAGGACATTATTTTCCTCAGAAACTGTAGAGGCACCGCAGCAAAACGACGATGGTTTAGGAGGTAAACCTGTTCCCTGTATTAGATCTAAACGCTTTTAACAATAAAATCAAGACTGCCTTCACTTTAAGGCAACACACTGTCTATATATGAGGTTGCCAAAACTACCCTACGGGCAGATAAATTATTCGAGAGAAGACTTCGGTGTCCTTTCCTGTAGAATACTCACATCAAACCATGTGTGTAAGCTAGCTGCAAGATTGTGACTTTAAATATCCAAAACATCTATAATAACAACCACACACTCTTGATACAAGCGACAGTTTTGTCTTCAAAGTGTGTGAAACTCCAGCTGGAGCTTTATAAAGCCAGCATACCTGATTTCTCCAGTGAAGGCGCCACTCGCGACCTTGTAACAGTTTTGCGCTGCGATTTTAATGCCTGCACGTGCTTTTTCCTGCGCATACTTTAGGAAGCATGCGGGAGCTCCGAGTACAATTTCTAATTGCATATACCATTAAATACGGGGTTTCATTTACCAGCGTTGGGATCGAGGTCAGCAGAGTTCAGTTTATTGAGGATATTATCTATTTCACTATGACTCCCATTCATTTTCCAGTTGCCTCCAACGAATAATTTACGTTGACTCATTTTTATGCGCAACTGTGTAGGACTGCCCCTTGAGCGGTGTCTGCTTGCGGTTTCGAAATCGTTGACGCTGATGCGAATAGGGTTCGAACGTTTAAAACAAAATTCTCCAGTCAAAAAATAATGAAAACTAACTTAATCAAAAAACATGGCCTTAATAATCAGGAAAATGCTTTTTGAAAACATATTTCCACCTTTTGAACATTAGGAGGGTATTTAAAGACGCGCATGGCAAGAGCCGATTACTCCCAGAACGAATGTTTCGGCGCACAGTTTGCCGTGGATAGCTCACTGCGTTCCCTATATCGGATAACTTGTTGAATGCACATGTGGTGCAGCTGAGCCACTATCGGAAGGAGGTGCAGGGAATAACATTATTCTGGCGGTGAAATCAAATCTGTCAGCGGATACTGACCTTTGCGTACAAATGGTCAGCGCATTGACCAGAGGGGCAGAAAACTTTTTCTGTTAAACAAAGTTTTTGCCATTGCGAAGAATACTGAATGACCATTACTTTTTTTGTGACTCTATCTACCGGCCACAAGTCTTACAGGACGTATGGATTGCAGATCTAAAAATGACATCCTTTCTATTAACCCACATGGAAGATGTCTTTTTCGGATTGTCCGCACTAGTACCTTTGCCATTGGGAAAGTCAAGTAGGAATAGTGCGTACATATCACTTTCGTTGGTTCAATTTATTATTTGTGAAATTGCAAACCAACATTATTAGTAAAAGTTGAAACTTTACCTCAGCGTGAACCTTAGTATGCAGATGTGCAACCCGTCGCTCAAGTTTTGATTAAGCTTAGTGCACTCTTTAGAAAAGGGCAAGTGAGCTTAGTGGGCTCTTTAGAAAAGGGCAATTGAGCGAAAATATTTCAAACGTTATTTGGATGCCCTGTACTAGAGAATAATGCGACATACGAAGGCTTATTGCGCATAGGCTGATGGCAACCACATAAATATGGTTAACAGTCGAGTTTCTCCCAAAAATTCGGAAAATGAGCTTTGAAATGCCGATAATGGAGTAGGAAGGCAACGTAGGTATACACATTGTTAGTGGAAAGTTGATCTGCCTTGGAATACATAGGACATGACATTGATCGAGGTTAAGCTTTAGAATAAATCTTGACAGATTTGTGTTCCGAAATGAAATAGGACGATGAGATATTGAACTCGTCCCTTGAAACTCACGTCCACCCAAATTACTCTATTCTGCATGATTTTTCTGTTAACTGAGGTTGCAAATAGAATACTCAGGGGCTCACGTGTGCAGCCCTCAATAAATTGGGCTGAATAACGTTGGAGTTAGACCCATTAATCTTTGAAATTATGAAATGAGTGAAAGTCCTTTTCCGAAAAAAGATGTTATAATGGTTTGAGCCAATAATTAGAAATAAATATTTTCGGGCAAATATTTATTTACCAACGTGAATAATATAACTTTCCCCAATATTCATTTAATTCTTGGGGTTTTCTTGTTCTTGCCAAAGCATGTTTCCCCAATGGTAGGAATGCTTGTCCTGTTAAAGTTCTTGTTGGAATCTAGTCCCTATTGGTAGGGGGCGCTCACCGATCGTTCATACGGAACTCACGCGTTCCGTTGTGCCTTAAGGGCTCTCTCTCGAGCCCAACCAGCAGCCGCACAGCGGCGCATGATATATAGGCAGAATAGTATTACCGACAAAGACAAGGGACATCTACTTCGCTCTCTCGCCCTCCCCACCTGGACCCGGTGCCAAGACATAGTTAATAAGAATAGAATAGAATAGGTATATTGAAGCGCCCCTTGGGCACTGTCAGTCCCCTTTGAACTCAGGAAAAAAACCTAAAACAAACTCGTTAATTTCAACTGTACTTTGACTTCATTTGCTTCGGGTGTCTGGTTAGCCAAAAGAGCGCGAATTGAGAGTTTGTTTTAAGTTAAAAAAACCTCAGTTCTAAGGGAAAATAATAACAAAAGTTTCAAAAAATAACGATATGTACAATATAAAAATTGAAGTTTGCAGTTTGGTAGTTTTCGGGGGCATGAATAATATGTCCTTGAAATTATTTTCCTGTTGGGTAAATTTCGGTGTGCTCTAGTTGCTGGCTGTCAGTCTATCTGGCCAGCTGTAAGGGGGCAGTCGCACAGTTCCTACGTGTTTTTCAGGAGGCTTACCATCGTTGTCTGGACTAAGAGCGGGTGATGGCAGAGGTGGCTAGGGCACCATAGTCTGCTCGGATTCCATGGAGTGCGAGTGCAATATGGGCCACATTAAGACGGAGTCCCTGCAGCATGACCCTCATTTCGCCTTTCAGTTGACTGCGAGGTCTCAGCTGGGGCGTTATTTGACAACTTTCCGCGCCATGGCACTTGGCGCACCGTGATATTCTCAGCCTCAGATCACTCATGCAGCAGAAAGAGGAGCCGAAAAGCACATTTCTGACTTTGTGAGAGGTGTCGGTGTTGTGGGGTTTTTGAGGGTTCGATGCGTCATGCATGCGTTGGTGTGGAAATATTTGGTGATATAGCTGAGTCTGCGGTGATTTACCACAGGTTTTCATGAATTCACATGTGGCCGAAAAGGCCTTTATGGTGGCTGAATTTGCAAGTACAATTTGGGCATTTAAGGCAAGTGCGTCTGGTATACGTTGGTGCTTCAGGTAGTGGTGTGACATCCCTGATGTCAATTTCTATTCTTGTCTTTACTTTGCTACTAACCGTTTGCTAGTAACCAGACTTTACGCACACCGCCCTGTCTTTGTCTTTGTATCCCTATTCGTCGGTTCTTGTCATTCCTTGTTCATTGTTCCCTGCCCATTGCCTATTGCTCTTTGTTGCCGCTCGCTTATAAACCGACCACCACACTTTGGCGTCATTCGCTGACTGCTCGTCTTATCACCTCGAATGTACGTCCACTTTTCAATTTATTCTCCACCTTATTAACTCTATTGTGCTCCGCTAATCTCACTGTTTATTGCTATAGAACCACAAACAATAACCGAGTTATCCTGACTGTCTTCTGACATAGCTCTGACCTCGGGTGCGTCTATTCAGGTGAATAAAACAGCACTGAGTTTAAAAAACACCAACCACAAAGTTATTCGAGACATGTTCGAGCAAATCGCAGACAACAGCCCTCCGGATCTGTCGCTGCACTCACAACCTGCTTCACCAATCGCCTTAGATCAAAGAGATTTAGAACGACAGCGACTTGAAATAGAGCTCAGCAAACTGCGTCTACTAGAAATCGAAAGACGCATTGAGTTGGAAAAATTACAGCTTATGAAAATGGAAAGTCGATAATTGAATAAAGATGACGAGGTTTGTGCGATCGCTCAACAGAGAGATGGTAGTTCGAATGATAATGTCGAACCTTCAGTTCGCACCACAGAGCATCATCTAGAGCTGCCAAAACGTGAAATTCAGAAGTTCGACGGAAACCC